TATCAACCTTTGAAGGAGGCTGGAGTAAAGCTGTTTCTAGTTTATGTTTAGTAAAGTATTAAAGTCTAAAGTGTTCCTAAAAATGGGTCAGATTACTAAGGGTAATAAGTCTCCAACAGCACTGTGTTTGCTAGCCAGTAGTAGAACCATGCTGTGCATTGGTGCCCTCTTGTGGTAAAGCTTCAGGTCTGCAGTAGGAATTATGAAGCTTTAAAACAAAAGCATGGACAAGAAATCTTCATTTACCTTCTTTAATTTAATGGCAGACTGCATGCTAAGAGTTAGTCCCCAAAATGATAAAAGTGGTGATGTTTGAGGGTGAACCATGAAATTAGAAGTGTTTTTTTCCCTATCTTCTGAGTTGTGTAAAATGAAATTGAATCACTTTTACCAGTGAAAAACAAGACACTACTGCAAATTACCACCATAGTTAATTAGTAATGATAAACAGACCCAGTTTATAGCTTTGGACAGAATGACCTGGAGCCTGAGGTTGGGATCCCTGTTTGGGTATGTTTTAATTGAATTCAGTAGATTAAGTAATTTTTTTTAAATTTCCTATTCTTTTGTCTTTTTTTTTTTTTTTTTTTTCATCTACTTGATTAAAAGAATTAAAAACCCACACAAACTAAATTCACATGAATACAAATCAGAGAGATCCTCTAAATTTTCTATGTGCAGAATGGAATTTGGGTGCCCTCATCTAGAGTTCCTTCTTTTTCTGAATGAGAATAATCTGAAGGCTATATTTACAATTAGAAGGTTGTTCAGCAAAGCTTGCAATTAGAGTCAAAATTTGTGTTATTCACAAGTCACAGTGGGAATTGATAAACTGGTCCTGCATCAACAGAATTTCTGGTCACTAAATTGTCACCTCTCCTAGATTCAGGACCTCCTCTTCAATGAATAGCAGTGCATTCTGTCATATTTTGTTTCTCCAAAATCTGTTTTGGTAAGTTCACTATTTCTGTTTATATTTTCCTTCCTCAAATGAGTTAACATTCCTTAACAGCTAACAGAGTACGAGGTGCTTTTTTTTTTTTTAAGGTTGCAATATTGAATAATTTGCACAATGTACTTAAGAAAACTATGCATCAGTGTTCAGAGTAAGCAGCTGAAATTTAAGCTGTAATCTTCAGATCATTTAAGCACCAGGCTCTTATCACTGTGTTTTTTTTTTTTTTTCAGTGTTGGGATCAAACTCAGGCCTTGTACATGCTGGGCCAGTGCTCTACCACTGAGTGCCACGCCTAACCTTACATGGTGATTCAGGAAGTCTATCAGTCTGGGGGTTCTTTGTACCAAGTCCTTATGGTGTCTCATTGTTGCCCCCACATACTAGCAGTAGTTTGGAGAGGCCATTCAAGCAGTTTATCACAGCTTGTTCAGAGAACAGTTTAGAACCACCATAGAATTTCAAAGACAGTTTTGTAATTTCATCAGAGGTTGAGAAGTAAATGGTAGTTATAAAAAATTGGGCATTTATGCAATGTTCTCCTTTTTTCAAAAGTTCTATGTTTAGTTCACTACAGTATGGTTCTCCAACTTGAGTTGTGACTATTCTTACCAAAATCAAATCATTCATATTAGGAACAATTAGGCTAATTTGTACTATTAGTTTCAGAAATTTAAAAACACAGTTTTCCCTATCCATAACTACAATTAAATTTTGAGAACAAAATTTTAAGTCTTTTTATCTTAGTATTATCTTTTTTCCTCTACTGATTCAAAAGGTAAAAAGTGTGTTCTATTAAATGTATATTCTTGGATTATTAAAAAAATATTAAAGAATATTGATTGGTAACAAGAAAAAGGCAAAAAATTTTATACATAAAAATATACAGAAATATGTTTCTAAATTGGTTTTGTAGATTATATGCTGGCTTCTGAAAAGCAAGAGTGTTAATTATAGAAAACCACCCTTAAGGGGCTGGGAGTGTGGCTCGATGACAGAGTACATGCTTAGCAACAGGAGGCCCTGAGTTCAATCCCCAGCATCAGAAACAAAACAAAACAAAACAAAACCAAAATTTGAATTTACAATGAAATTCTCAAAATTTTGTCTACTGTGTAATTAAGCTACATTACAACAAATTAAATAACTAATGATTATTACTATGTCAAAATAATTTCATAAATTTATAAAAATTTCAAAATCTTTTAGTTTTATTGTCCTCAGAAACCCAGGAGTATCACTAAGTAGTCTTTTACTTATCATCTTAGCATTCTTTCTGAATTTATATTCTTTTTTTTTTTTAAAAGACCTTTATTTATTTATATGTGGTGCTGAGGATTGAACCTAGAGTCTCAACAGCCCCAGCCCCTAAAGACATCTTTCCCTGATTACTTTGTTTAGCTGAAAAGAAAAAAAAAAAAATTTCTTAAAAATAAGGTGAAGTCTAAACTAATTCAATAGCTGCTGGTATTTCATCTGAAACTTTAAACAGCTACAAATCCATAAGAGGAAAAGGTTAAGTAAACACATTAGCTTTAGTGCATCATAAAAATTAAGATAGTTATTTTGGGAAGATTAATGCAAGCCAAACTGATTGAAGCAGACTTACTAAAAATTCTGTCATCAGCAGTTTTATTTATTTAGTTTAGCATATGCTAGAATATAATACATAACCTCATGCCATTTCTTATCATAAGTAGTCTTTTACATAATTAATTTGTGCCTAACATTTTATATAACAAAAGAAAAAATGAATCTGTAAATTATCAGAAAAGAGCATAGGTATAGGAAAATAATACATTTTTATATAAATTATAAAGGACAGTTACAATGGAAATCCACTAATTTCCTCTCTTAGTTTTATCAAATAAAGTCAACACACATTATTCTGTGAGCTGCTAAGAATGTACAAACACTGTGGCCCTTTCGAAAGAGAGTAGTCAAAGAGGGAACGTTGTATTGATATACCCTGTTCTCAGTTCTTAACTGGAGTTGAGCTTCCTTTCATAGTCTTCTTTAGGTGGTGATAATTTGGCAAGATTTTCATCAAGAAATCCAGTTGTAGAGTCTGGGGCTAAAAAGATAAGATAATTAAGACTGGTAGAAATCAGAGTCAAGAATATTAGGTAGAAATGATTCCTATTAGGTCAAAGAATGATAGGTAATTTCATTGACTTATTTCTTACCTGTTTGTGTTTTTAAAATATATAATAAAAATATATTGGGGTCTGGGGATGTGGCTCAAGCGGTAGTGTGCTCGCCTGGCATGTTCAGGGCGCTGGGTTCGATCCTCAGCACCACATAAAAATAAAATAAAGATGTTGTGTCCACTGAAAACTAAAAAATAAATATTAAAAAAATTCTCTCTCAAAAAAAAAAAAATTGGGCTGGGGTTGTGGCTCAGTAGTAGAGTGCTTGCCTAGCATGTGTGAGGCACTGGGTTTGATTTTCAGCACTACATATAAATAAATAAAGTCCACTGACAATTAAAAAAATATTGATTGGTAACAAGAAAAAGGCAAAAGATTTTATATATAAAAATATACAGAAATACGTTTCCAAATTGGTTTTGTAGATTATATCCTGGCTTCTGAAAAGCAAAAGAGTGTTAATTACAGAAAACCACCCTTGTAAAATATTCAAGAGTATATTGCTTTCTACACAGATGAGACACAGTCATCGATCTTTACTATTCAAATGCCAGCAGTGTCCAAACTGAATGTAAAACTCACTTGGGGTACTTGTGAAAAATATGGATTTTTTTTAGGTCTGTGCCTAGAAAGAATCTCTGTTTTTATTAAAGACCTCTATATAATCCTTATGATCAGTGAAATTTCGAAAACAGTGTCATACAACATTAAAAATTAAGCTACAGAATCTTGCTTATTTAATTCTAATTTCCTTTTTCCAACTCCTGCTTCATTTCTGTCTTTAATCATTCTTGTTGTTACATAGAAATAAGAAATTACTGATTTTTTCTTTTTAGTTTATAATAGCAGTTACTTGTAATAATAATAATGCCAAACATTACAAAAATAGAGTAAGAATTAAGAGTTTTAATATTTGATAAAATATGTCTAAGAAGCAGAGGCAAAGCAATAAATGTCTTGAAAATATTTCTTTGTGGGCAGGAAAAGGAGACTAGGTAATTAAAGGAATATATATTGAGTATGTCAAGCAATGATGCTCAAAACTTCAATCTAATGTTTTATATTCAAAGGAAGTCCCAGATGTCTTATATTTTTTATTGTTTATTCTAACATTAAGCTCCAAATATACATTCTTCATTATTCTTTCCTGGTTTATTAAGAAAATATACAAACACACTTGCTTATTCATAAGCTGTTTTTATAATCAAGCTGTATTATGCTAATAAACATAAACAGATCCAGGTTAATTTGGTAGGGCCATTCCTTTGGTAGGGCCTTGAAGATTGATATTTTAGGATTGAATCAATATGGTCTGTGAGGTTTGATGATGTATCTTCAGTGAAAATGCTGAGACCAGGAATAGCAATCTGGATTTTCTTTTTCCTCATAATCAACTTGTCATTGTCATTCATGTATCAAATACACACACAAACACAGGACAGTAACCTAAATACTCAATGACTGCGCTGCAAATTAATCCAAGTTTCTCAGAAATGTTTCTCTGATGTTTTATTTTATTTATTTGCTTTTTTTTTTTTTTGGATGGGATAAAACCCAGGGCCTCATGCGTGTTAAGTATGCACTCAACCAACTGACTAATCATTTGCTTTTTAAATGAACTTGTTGCCCATGAAGACAATTAGCTGGTGTTGGGGAGGGTTAACAGTCCTAGAATGAATTCTTTTTTAAAGAGAGATTGTTCTAGTACCTGTGGTCGCTCAGTTTGCACCCGACGAAGGCAGTCTGCACCATAGATCACTGTATTCTCAGGGATGACTTCAAAAGTATTTAGGTTGCAACAAGCCCCAATGATGCAACCACTTGTCAATATTACATTTCTGCCTACATATGCTGCAGTAAAAACAGAAAAAAATTGCAACTTAGGACATCATATAATTATAACGCTTCTTGTTGTGTTTACAACTCTTTTTTTCTCTGAGATTTAGGTACAAAAATGTAAACTGGCCTTAAGAAAAAAACAACAACAAAAACTAAAGAAAATGCGTCAGTTCAGAGTTTGCATAGATAGCACAGGGGAAGACAGTGCAAAGCATTTAAAACAGAGCTCTGCTGCTGACTATTTTTGTGGCCTTGGGCATGTCACTGGTCTTTGAGCTCAAGTTTATCTATAAAATGTGGAGACTACCCCACTTCATATTGCAATGAGAAAATAAAAGTACTAAGTTCAATAAAATAAAAGTACTAAGTTCAACAAAATAAAAGTACATAGTTCAATGAGAAAATAAAAGTACTAAGCACAGGTCTGACACATAGTAAGCTTATAATAAGTCAAGAATGCCAATAATGATAATAATTGGTAATCTAAATTAAAATTATGACCATTAAGTAGATTAACAAAAAAGTATGATCTGATTTAAAAAAAGAAGCATTTTTCCCCCCATGCCATTGAGGACCAACAAACCACTGTTCTTAAAGAAGTGTCACTTTTCAGGTTCTTTCTGCACTTTAGTGGGATAAGCTCTTGGAGCTGGTTCCCAGCAGTTCTGGTGACTTGACCCAATTTTGGAGAGTAGATATTTGTTTTTGATTGGCTGGGGGAAAAGTAGTTCTAAAATAAAAGAAACAAACCTGCTTGAGTAACTAACTGATTTTTTTCTATGACTACACTAATCAACTAAAATATCACTACACTAGGGTTTAATAGAATTTTTTTTCAAATCTTTCAATGGAACTTTATGATTTAATCCAATCACAACTTCAAAATACACACCAGCCTTTTAATTTTAATGTATTTAACCACATTATCAAATAACTACATAATTAGATTAGGTTCTTTTGAGGCAAATAATTAGTTTGACAATGACTTAAGTCCAATTCTAAGCATACCACCTTGTCATAGTTTGAACTCCGGTTGTTTCCCAGGACATGACAAAAAGAAAGAAGGTAATAAAACTCTGAACAGAGCTTACCTTTTGATTCAATGACATTGTTATCCCCCATTTTCATGGCTTGGGAATCTGTGAGCCCAGTTAAGTAAATACTATAAATAAGTTCACTCGCGCCCCCCCACCCGTTTTACACAGTATGTCTTTATATTACACTGGAGCACAGAGACATGGGAAAGACTTTGCAGGCTTTCCCTTGTCAAAAATCTTTGCTCAGGGAAACCTGTAATAAAGTTTTTTTAAAAATATTTTTTTAGATGTAGACAGACACAATACCTTTATTTTATTTATTTTTATGTGGTGCTGAGGATCAAACTCAGTGCCTCAAATGTGCCAGGCAAGCATTCTGTCACTGAGCCACAACCCCAGCCCTGTAATAAATAAGTATCTCGAGGTATAAATAAATGAATCCTTTTTTAAAAAGAGTAACATAACCTTGATTTTATATATTTTCACATTCTTTTAAGAAAAGCAAAACTATTCATTACCCAGTCACTGAAATACAGTAGACAGTGTTTTATGTTTTGCTGACACCATGGAAAAGTTTTACTATTTTTTCAGAGTATAAGACAAAGCAAAAGAACTGGTGATACCCTGGGAGAAAAGAAACAATATATATAGAATAAAATATTTTCACCCCTGCCCACCATATTTTTGAATCAGACAACATATTGTCTATTTAAAATAATAGAGAAATCAAACTGACAAAGGTGTGGTTCTTATATCAAGACAGAAGCCAGAATTACTATTTCTGTGTCCACTGCCATTCAGTCATTGCTACTTGACAATAAGTTATAGTTCCAGCAAAAGGACTTTCAAAATGCTGAGCTAAAGATGTATGCTTGTGTGTCCGAAAATGGTATGTGATATTTATTCTACTGAATTAGTCAACAGATCAGGAAATATATATTTTTCTTTTTTCTTGCAGTGCTGAGAATCAAACCTCACACAAGCTAGGCATGCACTCTACCACTGAGCTACAGACAACCCCAACCCCAGAAAAGATTTTTTAATATACTGCAAATATGTCCATACAAAAAGCAAGACAATGTACTCTTAAAAATGTCATTATAGTTTATATTATAAATATATTTGATAGATAAATCCTGATAATTTCTACAGGGGGAGATCTGGGGACCAAAGGACATCTGGGAATGATTTATGGCAGAATAGTAAAGGATACAACAGCCAACTTCAAACACATTGTTGGTGCCAATGATCATAGGTTTGGGTTCTGGATCTTCAGTGTCAGGAGTGATATTATCTGGATGACTATAAAAAGAAGAGATAAATGATAAAACAAACAAACAAACAAAAACCCAGTAACACAATAAGCTGTTTCCTTTTCCTTTAAGAGTTTGGGTTAAGGGCTGGGGATGTGGCTCAAGCAGTAGCGCGCTCGCCTGGCATGCACGGGCTGCTAGGTTCGATCCTCAATACCACATAAAAAAATAAAGACATTGTGTCCACCTAAAACTAAAAAATAAATATATATATAAAATAGTTTGGGTTAATTCTCTCAATTTTACTTGTGTCAAGCTTAAAATATATCACTGTATCAGTTATTTCTTGGTCCAAGTGAATCATTTCTTCTTTATGTTAAAGAAGGCTTGATTTTTTAGTTGATCAGAAATGTATATAGTAAGAGACAGCCTTCCTTTATTTCTTAAACTCAGAATTCAGAGGAGACTGACTCTACTTTTAGCCTGTTAAGTTAGATCATACCTAACCTGAAACTTTTCCATTCTTATTAATCATTCAAGATTGTAAAATATAAACAGATATGCACATAAAATAATTATTTTATGATATTAGTTGAAATATTTGAAGACAAATGCTTGTACTCTTAGAGAGGAGGAAACTGTTTTAACCGGTGTTTATCTCTGACAGTTGAGTAACTGCAGAATATTGCTTTTGTTAACTGACTTACACTGAAGGTGCCAAATGTTTTTTAAAGAGAAACTGCTTAATATACTGAGACTCCCAAATCCTAAAGCAGTCAGACAAATCAGTCTTTTTATCACAGTTAAATATTTTCCCAAGGTCTTTCTTACAAATTCCATACATTGTTGCTATAAATTAGGTATAAGCCAAATTTTCTTGCCAAAATTTTATCTAGAAAGACTTACAAATGCTTATGAAAATTTCATGAATTAGTTCACCGAAGATCACATACATGTTCTAATATTTTATTATTTTTTTATCTTTAAAGTTTAAAAATTGCCTCTAGGATCACAAATTTTTCACCTATAACTCTTGGTATTATTGTGCAGAACATGGGAAAATATACAGTTGATTTAAGCTCAAAATTTTTTGGGCATGAGTAATATTTCAATCAGAACCAAGAAATCCAACCAAAACTCTTCATAGCACCTGGAGGTTGGAGGTGCTCAGGAAGTGTTTGCTTAAGAGAAGGATGACAAGATGATACAGAAGGGGAAGGTCACTGGACCTGGACCCAGAGGTGGAGATTCTAGTCAGCCATTAATCAGTAAGCTCTCACCCTGGGCAAATCTTTTCCTCTACTTGGTTTTTGGGTTCCACATTTACTTGTGTTGAAATAGATCCTTCATGTTTCTCCAGCTCTAAAACAGTGGGCATTCCAAATGTCAGGTATAATTTTTGATTTTTTTTTTTTTTCAGTGCTGGGGATTGAACCCAGCGTGTTAGGCCAGTGCTCTGTGAGGAGTGAGCTACAGCCTAACCCCCAAAACTTATATTGATGAAAACTGTTACAGGTGCTGCTTAATTCACAGTGTCTGTAAGTCTTACGCATTTATGATGAGGGCCTGTTCTTCTATCAGGTTACCTTCACCAATCACTATTGGCCCAGCTTCAGCAATAATTCGTGCTTTGGGGTGAATCACCGTCCTTGGTCCTGTCAAAAAATCATTTGAGAAGAAATTATCAGTGGAGATCATGCTTCCAATAGCGGGGTGGGACGTGACCAAGGGTGGGTGAGGCTATTGGGAGGAACAGGCTATGTACTTTACAAATAATATGTCCTGTTATTAGTTAGTGCCAGATCTCAAGTCAAGGTGAGTGAAAGAGTACAGGCATGAAAGCCAGACAGTTTTGGCTCAACCTCCATTTTGAAGCATCTGTGATCTTAGCCAGGAACAGACAGCAATCTTGCAGGGTTGTTGTATGGGTTAGGTGAGATGATGGTGGAGACAAGGTATGTGCCACATAGGTGGCAATAAAAAGTAATTCCCGAGTTGGGTTATTAGGTCAGTTGGTAGAGCATTTGTCTTGCATATCTGAGGCATTGGGTTCAATCCTCAGCAGCAAGTAAAAGCAAATAAATAAAGGTATCATGTCTGTTGCCAGCTAAAAAAACATTTGAAAAAAAAATTGTTTGGGTTTTTTTTTTTTTTTAAAGTAATTTCCTTTCTTTCTTTCTCTCAAAAAGGTGAGGCTCTCTGCTTATGATGTGGTACTTTTTTGTGCTAGTGCTCCACAGGATTCCTCTTATTACTTACTACAAGATTAAGAGGAAAATATGAGTGGACAGTAGTCAAAAATATATGGGATGTAATCTTAGCTTTGTTATCCTTAATGCAAGCATATCCACTAGAAGGAGGCAAAGCTTCTGTTGTCTGATCTTGGATATGATTTTGACTGGTTAAAGTAGAAAAGGTGAAGGGAGAGAAAAGGAACCACAGATAAATGCTGAGGTCCTAAGACTCTGGTGCATGGAGACCTGAAGTGATGCCTCCAACCTCAAATCTAGGGGAACAAGGAGGGGCCTTATCACATACACTTCAAGAGCAGGACAATGGAGATATTGCACTCTTAACAAGAGACCCTGATTCTGGAATGCTAGCACACTCTCCTTTCTTGGCTTTTATCTACCCACAGGCCTCATGTTCTGGTGATAATCAAACTACTGATGAGAAAACATATCCTTCTCTTAGTCTATCTCCAACACACATCTCACTCATCCCTCAATATCAAGACTACTTCAATGGGTAAACAACTGGATAAGGGGTGACTAACTCTGAAAGTAAGGAAGGGTGGACAGAGGATGCACAGAGGGTGGAAAGGGGGTCAGGAAGGTGACCTTGTCCAGAAAATCCAGTATTTAATTGTTAATTAAAAAAAAATCAGTATCTGTTTGTGGTAGGTAAGATGCAGCACTATATAGTATAGGGAAACACAAATGAACACGTACTGGAGTGGGTGTATAGGCCAGTGGTAGAGTCTATGCTTGGCATGTATGAGGCCCTGGGTTTGGATCCCTAGCACCAAATAAATAAATAAATAAATGAACATATACTATTTTTGCCCCTTTGAACTTGTTATTTTGAAAACTGGGAATGCTTAGCACACTTACAAATGTATTAAACCAAATAAGGATGTGTTTTTGGTGCCCAGAGAATGGGAGGGAGTCTCAGTGCAGCTTATTCTTTTTCCTGACAATGAAGAACTACAGGGATTGATACAGTGGGTGGGGGCCAAGACAGGATGCATGTCCCAAGATGCACTGTCTGGTAAGAAAGCATAAGAGTGGCCTTGATATTTCTCTGTCACCTCTGATTCCCCAAATTTTCAACAGTTAAGTATAAAATTCCCAGTCAAATTCTCCTTCTCAGGATAGAAGATGTGATCCCTGGGAAGTTTCTCAAGTTGATCATGAGTGTGAACCTCTGTGCTTTTCTTCTCTTATAAATACAGCTCCCCTGACATAAGTGCACAGATACAATCTAGACACGTACTTATTTTTTCACATATATTTTAATAAATATAACTATTTTCCAAAACAAACAAAAAACCAAGAAGAGTGATATCGCTTCATATTTCTGCAAATCTTTTTATTCCCCTCTTTTTTATTAGAGCATCATAATTATACATAGTAATTGGGTTCATTTTGACAAAAATCATACATACAAGGAATCTGATTTTGAGTCCCATCCTCTCTTTTCCTCCTCTCCTAATTCCTCCAGTCTCCCTCCTCTACTCTATTAAACTTCCTTTCTTCTACATACATGTAAAAGTGAAATTCCCTGTTATTTTTACATATGAATATAACATAATTTGTTAAATTCATTTATCTTCCCATTTCTCTTTCTCCCTCCCATTCTTTTATGTCCACTCCACTGATCTTCCCTATATCTTTTATGATATCTGATCCCCTTATTTATCTATAGAAGAAATAGATTATCATTGCCAAAAATTCAAAATAATGCAAAAAGTGAAAGTTTCTGTCACACTTATTTGATTTCCTAGAGGCAACTATTCTTAAAAAAATTGGGTTATATTATTTCATAATAAATACTGCTATATACTTCAGATCTGTAAGTACCGCTATATATAAGCTATATCATTCAAAAATTCAAAAATAAATGCAACTTGTAGAAAAACTATGTATTACAAGTGCATTCTTCTCTAAATGGTAATTTTTTTTCATGTAAACATATCTAGGTAGATATTCTTTTTACTGGGTATAAGGTATCTCACATTATATTAATATGCCACAATTTACTTAACTGACTCCTTAACAATGGACACTAAGAGGTTATAAACCTTTGAAGGAAAGATGCTAAATAATGCTGACACAAATACTGGATTCCTTTGAAAGGAGATATTCCTAAGTCTTCCAGATATATGAGCCAATTAAAAGTTGTAGTTTGCACAATACTAGATTTATATTTTACTTCAAAATGTTCCATATTAAAGGGAACCTATTTTAGGTTCTTTGTAATTAAAGCCACAGCCAACACCCTACCCTTTCTAGAAAATCTGAACTCCAGATTCTATTACTTAAAGGCTATGTGCTTCCTCTCTCAAAGGTCACCCTTCTCATCTATAAAAAAGATGACATCCTACCTCATTGGGTTGCAATGTGAATTGTATGAAAAAAAAATGTTTTAAAAGGAGCTCATAGGATCTGACACATAGTTGTTAAAAATGAGAAGTTCATTGCTATTTGTGGCTTGTGAGAGCTTTTCAAAAAATTGACTTTTCAAAAACATTTTTTTAAAATTAAATTCAGGTCCAAGAAACAGAAGTGTCTGCTTTCCTCTTCTATTAAGGTATCAAGGTATACTTACTTTTAATCAAGGGGTGAAATTCTGTACCTTATTATAGGATTATAATAAGAACATTTTCTATAAGCAGTTTTAAAGATCTTAGACACGAGGCAGAGATCACCATGGCTATGATAGAAAGCAAATCTTTTGCCCTTGCTAAATAAGTAGCCAGAGGCACTAGACATTTTGATGGCTCTCAAACTATAGCTTTTGACAAGCAGCACTTGTAAGGAGCTACCTCTGGATAGATTAATAAGCCATAGGTACCACTAAGACTTGTGTGTGTCTTTAGAAGTTCCTATAAAGTGCAGTTTTTTGTTTTTTTAGTGGGGAGGTATCAGGGATTGAACTCAGGGGCACACCTATTTTGTATTTTATTTAGAGACAGGGAATGAGTTGCTTAGCTCTTCACTGTTGCTGAGGTTGGCTTTGAACTTGTGATCCTCCTGTTTCAGCCTCCCCAGCAGCTAGAATTACAGGTGTGTGTGCCACTGCACCTGGCCTGAAGGGCATGTCTGAAAACAATTGACATTTAAAATTTTCTTTTTCAAAAATTATGTAATACATGCTCATTATATTAAAAAGTCCAAACAAATAAGCACAAATTAAAGAAAAAATGAGACAAATCCCAGAATATGCCTTTTTCTTTTGTAGTGGTAGGGACTGAACCCAGAGTCTGGAGCATGCTAGGAAAATTTTCTATTGAACTACACCTCCAGCCCCATAAGATGGCTTGTACAATACTTTAAAACAAAGCTGTCATTTTAATCAGGTATTTTATTATTTTTATTATTATTAAGTTTTGTAATAGGTAACTGGAAAACTCTTGGTTATAAATCTGAAGGCCCGGAGAGGTAAAGCATAGCAGCAACACAGGTGACCCATGACTTAGACCCCACTGCCTCCTGCTGGCAGCACTGCCAAACTACAGGTCCTGATGTTCAAAGGTTGCAAGAACTGCCCATTAATCCCTAAGTTTTCAATTAGTTAAATTAAATTAATTATTTAGTTCCACAAATGGTATATTTCTTGTTCAATTTAAGTTTTTATAGGTGTTCCACATCTGAGATGATGGGACAAAATGGATTAAGAGGTGAAACTATTAACTTTGTGAGGTGACAGCAAATGAGATTGGCAGTAATAAACTGGACAGTTCCCCTAAACCCTCTTGTAGGTCCTTTTGGGCAAAGACTAGAGAGATTTGAATACGTGTACTTCAGAATATGTGACTGCTAAGATTTTGGTTAGACAGACTTCTTCAAGGAGTCTGCAGCTTCAGTGAATGATGTGGACAATCCACCTTTGTCTCTGTAAGGTTCTGTGCAGCACATTGGGCAGCAGAGAGCTCAGTAATACAAACACAATTATGCAGATATAGTTTACTTCACTCTTTCCTGCATACCATGAGAACTTTTAACTAGAATGGGTCTGAATTCAAACCAAATTTAAAGGTCTTAAGGTTAAAATGTTTTAAAAATAAAAATCTGTCACCATTGAAAGTTTTTTCTTTTTAAGTCTGTTGTGAACCTTCTTGGAACTCTTTCTGGCAGGGAAGTTAGTGTATTTTCTTACTGAATGTGCTGAAATCCTATTTGGCTTATCTCCTTGTTTGGATAAATGTGTTTTGAGTTGGAGCTGCGTTAACTGGTGGATGCATTATTTTTCTAAATGGTTGGCTGGACTTGAGGCAACACAGCCAGAAAGGCATTCCTTGCATCACATTTCCATTTCCCTCATTTGGTAAGGGGCACTTTTCCTGTCTACCTTTGCTACAGAAAGCAATCTCTATAAATGTTTTCCTATGTCAATAAATAATTTAAAAAGCCCCAAGCTCTCTCTTCAGAAAATTAAACAATTCCCTTGACCTATAAGCTGAAGTACCCATCTGAGCTCCTTTATAAGCAATGATTTCTCAAGTCAAAGCCACGGTTCAGCCATACTGAAAAAGACTCTTACAATAAAAAGGAGGCTTTTGATTAGTATTAAAACTCTGCTGGAGAGAATGAATTAAGTGGGACAAAGTATTCCATTACAAAGAGTTCTGCCTTCATATTATAATGTCCCAACCAAGCCCTGGCCCAACACCAATAGTGTGCCCCTAGTCCTCTAATGGACTAGAGGACTGTGCTTGGAGGTCCTTTCTGAAATATTCTTCAGCTCTCAAAATGAAGATTTACAGGAAATAATTCATGCTGCATGAATCAAGGCAGCTTAATTTAAAACAGGCCTATTTTATCCAAGTTATAATGATCAGGAGAGCTGTTATTTTTCCCAAGGTCTATTTCTGAGCAGCCCCTAGTGAGGGGGTGAGGCATCAGCAGAGATTCAAGTCAAAGGCTCCTGGATAAGAACTGTAATTTCAAGCTTCTGACTAATTTCTCTAATAAACGAAATTACCTGATTTTCTTGGAAAACAGATCAGGTTTAACATTCCACTAACACGAATCATACCAAAAGAAAAAAATTACTTTCTTTCTGAAATATTGTAGAATGGAATAGTTTGTAAAAGTATAAATGACTAGAAAATGGAAAGTGGCACAAAAACATCTTGAAAAATCTTCAAACTGCATTTGAGTTTACTGGTACTTAACCCAGAAAATAGGGTTCATTAAGTACTCAGGTCTCCAATTCTATAAGCACATAAGACATAAGAAAAAGACTTAAATCAGTTATTCTAATAAGTCAAAACACAAAAACAATAAAAGTTCTAAAATAACAAGACTGGTGGGGAGAGCTGTAACCAGATGACTTATCTTTATTCTCTGCCTGGATTTAACTTCATAATTATATCTCATAGGAGGTTTTTAAATCTGATGTTCTTTTAGAAAAATGAATAGCAGCCAAAAAATTAGAGATATTTTATACTAAATATAAGAGTAACAGAAATACCAATTCTGGAATATTTATACAAACACATGTGCGCATATATATATATATATATATATATATATATATATAAATATCCATTAGAGATAAGAATTGTGAGGCTTGAGTACAGAAAAATAAAAGAAGGAAACGTATAAAAAATGAGGTAAAAACTGTGGAAGACATAACATTGTGTAATTATATCACTCTTCTGAACTTTTTCTTTAATTTAAAAAAGTGATTTGTTTCTGTGAAATATTTGAGTAAATTTTCTTGTTTTAAAAATTTGGAGGCAGATGTGATGGCACATGCCTGTAATCTCAGCTACTTGGAGGGCAGAGACAGGAGGATTGCAAATTTGGGGACAGTCTTGGCAACTCAGCAAGATCCTGTCTCAAAATAAAAAAATAAAAGGGCTGGGGATGTAGCCCAGTGGTAGAGAATCCTGGGTTCAATTCTAATACAAAAAAAAAAAAAAAAAAGAAAAAGAAAAAACAATCAAAATAAAATAAAATATAACATGGGTTTGGAGGTGGAGCTATTTAAAAGGAACTGACTCTCCTATAGTACTTGTGCTTTTGTTTACACACCTCCCTTTTCTCATTCGAGGTGATTCTTGGTAGTCAAACATCACTTCCTGGCCTGTAAGACCAGAGCTCCATGCTGGACAATCAATTGATCAGCCCTAAATTATTTACTTCTAGACTTTTTATATGTAAGAAAAAATCTTTGTGTGCTTAAACTACCATTACATGCAGGTAAATCTTGTCTTGATATACACAATTACAAAGATGAGAAAATGAAAGTTAGTAAGGTTAAGTAACATGTCTGAAATAACCTAGCAGGTAAGGAGTACAGAACAAGCTAACAGATTTGTGGACTCCATGGTGCATGCTCTTAATAAATCACTCTAGAATGCAAATTCCACAGAGGCAGGACTTTTCTCTGTTACGTTCACTGCTCTTTCCCTAGTGCCAACAGTGCTTGGCACATACATCATGGGTACACAACTTCTATGTCTCAAATACATGAATAAATAAACACTGTCTCATTAGTATTTCAGCTAGAAATTTAAACATGGCCTCCACCATATTATATTCTTTTCAAAATATTAAACATAGGAGAAAACACATTGTTTTGTCAATACAATTAGGAAACTAATAAAACAGACATAGAAGGTATTATCTAAATGTAAAGCACTAAAATAGATTAATACATCAATTCTTAAGAAACAACATTAATAAACCATTTTCTTACCTATAGTAACATCTCCTCTGATTTCACTTTCTACACATACAACTGCTCCGGGAGCAATCTTCACACTATAGGAAGAAAACGGTAACTTACATCATGGGAAAGACCAAAAATAGAAGCTATGCTGGGCCTGGTGTAGTGAGTGGTGCACCCTATAAATCCCAGAGGCTATGGTGACTGAGGAAGGAGGATACAAAATTCAAAGCCAGCCTCAGCAACTTAGGCCCTCAGCAACTCAGTGAGACCCTGTCTCTAAATAAAATACAAAAAGGGGCTTGGGATGTGGCTCAATGGTTAACACCTCTGGGTTCAATCCCTAGTAACAACAACAACAACAACAACAAAGAAGCTATGCTGGCAGTGTAGTGAAGAAAAGCTTAAAACAATTAATGGAAAAATGGAATGTCAATTGTAAGAGGGCAAGGAATTATAACACATTATAAATTTCTCAAGTGACATATTATCTATCAGGCCAAAATCATATATACTGTTAAAATGTTAAGAAGAAAAAGAGCTTTGATTTTTCCTTTGAATTTAACACCAGCTCTACTTCTAAATAGCAAAAAAGCTGAAAACTACCTAAATATCCATCAATAGTGGACTGGAAAATAAATATGGTACTCTAGGAATTAATGTACAGTTATTAAAATGAATGACCAATTCTTCATGTAAACATTTGGGAATAATTTCCAAGCTACATTGTTAAGTAAAAATAGCAAAGCCAAAAAATGGGCATATGTAATATGCTACTATTTTTGTAAACAGGGAAAATTAGTATGTTTTGATTTACAGTTGTTAGTACTATATAGAAATACATTAATTTTGTACATTGACTTTATATCTTGAGATCTTGCTAAACACATTTTTTATTTTTCAGTGCTAGGGATAATCAAGGGCTCTGTACTTGCTATGCAAGCACTCTATCATTAAGCCACACCCCCAACCCCTAAACCCATTTTTGTAGATTGTTTGGAATTTTTTACATAAACAATTACATTGCCTATGAACATACACAATTTCATTTTATTTTATTTTTGGTACTGGGGATCGAACAACTGAGAGACACTTGCTTACTGAGCTGCAACCCCAGAACTATTCTGTATTTTATTTAGAGACAGGGTCTCACTGAGTTGCTTAGTGCCTTGCTTTTGCTGAGGCTGGCTTTGAACTTGTGATCCTCCTGTATCAGCCTCCCCAGCTGCTGGGATTACAGGCATGAGCCACTGTGCCCAGCAGAGTTTTATTTTTTCTGTTCAGATAGCATATTCAGATAGTATGCCTATGATTTCTTCTTCTTGTGTTACTGCTCTGGTTTAGCCTTCCAATACATATTACAAAGAAATCATGAGTGGAGATTTTCTTCCTTGTTCTCAATATTATAAGAAACAGTTCCATAAAGCCACTAAGATCCTAAGATCCTAGAAACTCTAATTTAAGCTGTGAACTTTGCATTTTCAATATTAAGTGGGCTGGGGATATAGCTCAGTTGGTAGAATGCTTGCCTCGCATGCATAAGGCCCCTGGGTTCAATCCCAGCAGCAGTAGTACCACCACCACCACCATGACCAAACCCCCCCCCCCCAAAAAAAAAATGGTAAGTGAAACAACTGAAGCTTTGTTGACCACAATGTTATTGCATCAATTTATAAATTTTTCAAAAACTTATTTTCTCATTTCAGTAAATATGTTCTGCAACCAGCAAGGACTGGAAACCTAAATTGAAATGTTTTACTAATTTACTTTTTTCTGAACTTCTATTTTCAATATTTATTCATGAAAATGTTTATTTTTAACTTATGGTAGATAACATAAAAATTAGTGGCACTTTCTAGTTATGAGACTTTTTCAATAAAAAAGTGCTGAAAGATTTCATTTTTAAAAAATGGACTTATGTTACTCTTTCAAATGTATGTTCCTCAATGATTATTTGAATACTTACAAACTATCACTGGAATGACAGATAAAATATGAATACTAGTTGTCTTTAGAGAGGTAATTGTGAAATATTGTTAATAATGTTGGAAGGGGGATAAAAATACAGTCATCAACTATGTATTTTCTAACAATAAAAATAAGGTGAAACTACATAAAAACATTAGAATGCTATACTTCCATTTAAATAAACATAAATGTTTATAACAGGGGTTGTCCAAGCTCATTCATGAAATATACTGTCCATTGCAATATTGATGCTACAGAGTTGAGTAGCTGCAAGACTGTGAAATCTCCAAAGCCTAAAATATTTGCTAACTGGTCTTTTACAAAAAAGTAGACTCCTGTTCTACATGAACAACTCATCTCTGTAATTTCACTCCTCTAAAACTTTTATTCCTCCAGTAAAGAAAAGAGATATTATTAAAACAACAACAACAACAACAACAAAGAGCAAGAGAAGAAGCAATAACAGGTAAAGTTACAGATTTCTAGGAGACTGTACAGAAGAAGGAAAGCAGTTAACAGGCTTAACTTAGAGGTACTAGGTTATTTAGGGAAATGTGTATGGAGTCCAGGGGGAGAGCAGTGGAGATGAGAGATAAAGGATATAAAGTAGAGCTGTTGGATACCTCAGCCCTTCTCTACCCCAGTGTGCACAGTCAGATGACCCCTCTCTGAGGTGCTCTGTTCAAGATACCAGACCCAGAGGTAAGTGGGGAATGAATGATGGTCACAGTAAACAGGGAAACCATCAGCTCTACTTGCCCTGTGTGCCTCCCTGACTCTCACAAAGAATTTGAGGCAGTCTGGAGAAACTACCATACATTCTGAATTCTTTAGTGAAAAGGCTGGTTTCCTGGCTGCCTTTTCCTACCCTGAGGCTCATCAGAGGATCCTCTTATGAATATACCAGAGCTACCAGGTATTTAGTCTTCATTTTTTAATAATGTATAGAGAACAAAATATTATCAGACATTTGAGGAATGCTTCCAACTAAAAGAAAAAGAGAAAAACACGGGGGTGGGGGAAGTCTAAGGGAACACAGTCAATTCAGGTAGCAGGTAGTATATCTTAAAAATGAACAAACAAACAAACAACCTTATAATTAATCCAGAGAAATCAGATTGTTTTTGCATTTAAAAATCAAGATAGAAGTCTAAGGAAGAAGAATAAGAGTCTATAAAAGAGTTCCTAGGAATGAAAAATATGACCAAAGTAAGTCAAACATTCACTAGAAGTTAAAATCAAGGGTTGCAGTTTTCCAAATGAACTTTTTAGTAAAGTATGTACTTGTGTGCATCCATTAGTTTGATAAAAAGTACAATCAGTATTAAATAACAGGAAAGTACAATTTTTTTAACGTAAGAAGGCTCAATATTAAATATTAAAACACAATTTTACCTATTTAAAATACAATCTAGGCAAAGACTAGAAAGTAACAAAGGAAAAACCTCTCTTTCCAGGTTGAACATCACTGAAATTAGTAGAAATATCCAAAGTAGGCAGAAAAAAGGGCAGCTGAGGCTGGGAAGCAAAGGAAGGACCACTCATGAACAAATCTGTATAGGAGATTCATACTTGTAAACAAGATGTTCCTAAAGGCTTCTCATTCCCAAGCCAACAACAACCAAACTGTATTTAGATAACTGGTGTTTATAAGATGAAGTAGTGGGAAGAGGGCCTAGGGAGCCTAATCCTGCAGAGATAATCTGGGCCTGAAAGGAGGTGGCAATACTTAGAAGCTGTAGGCATGGCTAGGAAACTGATATGAGACTTGTCAACAAGTACTATAATTAATAAAATCTGGCTTTGAGAAAAAAATAGGAGATGTGTACTTCCCATTCCTTGTTATGACTTATGGACCACAAATTAATACATAATTTGTATTAAATTAAATACATTACTTTCTTCTCAGAGCCAGGAAAATATGTTTGACTAAGGAGGGAATGGGGAGAGGGGTGAAGAGTGAAATAAGGAAACCGGTTAACCATTCTGTCCCCTTCCTGGAAGGGATGATTCCAGATGGAGAGAGGGGCTCAAGATAGTTGCTCTGACTCAGTTTTCCATTAGTGCCAGAAAACCAAGCAAAGGTGAGGAGCCAGGGAGCAAGATCAAAGCTTCTAGGTTTCTGATTTGCAGGACTGATGGCACCAACAGAGAAAGTCTATGGGAGAAGGGCACATTTCAAGGTAAAATCAGTCTTAAGTATTTATAGAAAAGGAAGGAGATATTCCCAATAACCACTGAAAATACAGATCTGGACTTATGAGAGAATTCTAAAAATATAGCCCCAAGAATAAAAAAAAGTATGGATTCTCTCTTAAATATGTTTCTTCATCATTTACATTCCAGAATCCCCAATATTCCCTAATATAAATGTAAAGCAATTCTCAAAATATTTTTTAAAATCACACTAATTTCTCTACTGATATGAAGAACTAAAAAAAGAAGCTTTCCCATCACAACACCTATTTTGTAAAGATCTAAGTTAAAAAAAAATGTATACACACACACACATATAAAATAGAAAAAAATGAACAATCCTTGGGTCTATTTCATGAAATGCTTGCAAGATGAGCCAGCTATATCTGATTCCATCATTTTATCTGGCACTGACTTTCTATAAGGAATAATTTAATGAAATTCTTCCAAGTGATCTTTCAGAATTATCCTATGTCCTGTCAAGAATCAATCTGCTGAAATCATAGAAAAAATATAACCTTCATACTGAGATCAAAAAAGAAAGAAAACTTTAGTAAGATAGAGCAGAGTAAAAAGAGGAAAATCATCTTTCAACCTTCTCAGATTAAAGACAAGGAAACACATTCAGAGATTGGAATTTCTTAAAGCAAAGTTTATTGCTGGGGCATCATTGTCCTGTCATTAGTCATCTCTTTTCTGTTAGTTCAAAGTTGTCTGGAAACATCCTGTCACTCTACATATTTTTTCTGTGATAAATGAATGATGCTGTTCTTGAACATATCACCATTCATAAATGCCACTTTTCTGATACTTTTCATTTGACGTGTTTTTTTTGTGTGTGTTAAAATGCAATGGTATTAAGCCCTGTTCAAATAACATTAGCTTCTACAAAATTTCTCTTCTTTTAGGCCCTTATTTCTCATTGAAGTTTTTCATTCCCTCAATCCCTTCTCATTATTTAAATAGTGTCTCAAGTAGGGGTAGAAGAAACTCATACATGATCTGTCTTTAGATTTATGTCCTAAGAAGAGATCATAAGTAGTGTTTATGTCGCCATCTGCATGCTTCTTCGCGACGTACTTAACAATTAGACAAATTAAAACGTTGACCCCGCTGGACCTCGGAGTAATGGGGTGCAGCGGGAAGAAGGCAGTTCCGAGGGGAGGGCAGGCATGCAGACTTATTAGAAGAAGTCAATAATACTTTCCTCTTCACCTTATGCTACGAATATACGGTATATAATATTTATAGTAATGCTTTTCTTTAGTTTGTGAAAAAAATTACAGATTACCCTCTAAGTGGAACAAAAGCCTAAATTTCAATTTATGGCACCAAAACCAATATCGGTTTTGCCAGAGTCAGCAGAGGGCGCTCAACACAGTTGCTTTCGGAAATGCTTTTACGTAGGCATTTCTCTAATCCAAGCTGTTTCTAGGTGGAATACCAAGAGTCCCTAGCGAAGAAGCAACCACAGTTCCTCTCCCCCACGTTGACAGGGAGCTCCTACATGCCTGGCAGAACCAGTCACAGACCTGGCCCAAGTACGGCCCCCTTTCTGACACGCAACCTCGAATCAGTGTACACCTCCGCTCCCATCCTGAAGACCCAAAGGTTACTAGGGTGTGGCCAGCACTGGCGCCGGCGTCTTGCAACAAAGTCCAGCAAAAGGCCTTACGCGCACTGGCAACAAGAGTATGGGAGAAATAAAGGCGGTTTCACCCAGCGTCCGGGGAAGAGGCCGGGATCCTTCTGCGCAGGCGTGCTGCGGCAGAGGGCGTGAGAGAAGCAAGAACCAAAACGGCCGCGATACCAAATATGTATCCCTTCTCCGCCCTCTCTACCCCTACTGGGTCACCTCCTCTCAGCGGAAGCCAGGTCTTAGGTTTAGGTACCAATCAGCCCAAGCGCACAGGATGAGACACCACCTCAGTCCCCAACACTGACGACCAGAAATAGGTTCCCCCCGTGCGGAAAGTTGAGAACAATCTTTCCTCAAGCAGCAGACGCACCTCTTTTGAATCTTCTCCGCCATTGTACGGGCCTGATCTACAGCTGGAGCTGAGATCAACACCACAGACTGGATAAAGCGACGATCTCTACAAGCGATTGGACAGCCTGACAGGATTGGGATGGGGCGGAGCCGCTGGGCCTGCTCGCGGCGTGGGCAGGGGCGGGGCCGGGGGAAGGCTCCGAAAGCTCGCAGATCTCGAGGATGGCGGTGTGCGCTGGGATGGGCTGCTACGCCTGGCCCACTGAGGACCTCAGCACTGACCAGGGGTGCATCGACTCGATTTTAAAACATTTATTCCAGCCCAGCTCACATCACTATGACCTCGTTTTACATTCTTACCACCTTTTGATACTTGTGATCACACTATGAAGGTGTCCCTCTGACCTCCCGATGTTCCTTTCAGTCTCGTTGCGATCTTCTATGTTAGAATTTCGCCTTCCGACCCGTGGCCCTTTTCTTAGTCTGAGTGATCTTATCTTTCCCATAGGTCAGTTGTGGCCCTCTACCTGCTGGTTTTTTTTTTTTTTTTTTTTCAACTTAGTATCTCTAGTTCTGTGCTCTGCCGGGCTTCACACCTGATTTTAGATTGACTATTTGACACCTATTTGGATGCCTAAGTCTTATCAAATCGAAATCAACCACAATGGGAGCTTTTGATTCATGACCTTGCCCTCTTTCCAACCAGTTCCTTGATCTCCCTCTCAGTAAAGGAATTCACCCTTCTCCCGGTTGCCCAAGCAACTGGAAAGTCACCATTAGCACACCTCATCACCACATACTTAATTCACCTGCAAGTTTTTGTTGAAATTTATTTCTTCCACTTTGCACCATTTGCCCCACCATCTCTAATCTCCCTGCATGTTTCTCCACTGTTGTTCCTTCCATCTTTTAATTTTTTTTTTTGGTTGTAGAAAAACACAATATTTTATTTATAAACCCAGGGCCTCACACATATTAGGCAAGTTCTACCACTGAGCCACAACCCCAGCCCTGTTCCTTCCATCCTTGACCTGTAAAATCACTCCCACCCAGGTCATTCTCTTACAGCAAAACCATCCTTTAAAAATCAAGTTCAGAAACCATGCACACCTTTAATCCTGTTGTCTGGGAACATCCTGCTACTCTACATATTTTCCTGTGATAAATGAATGATGCTGTTGAACATATCACCATTCATAAATGCCACTTTTCTGATACTTTTCATTTGACGTCGGTTTTTGTGTTAAAATGCAGTGTTAGTAAGCCCTGTTCAAATAAAATTAGCTTCTACAGAATTTTTCTTGTTTTAGGATTTATTTTTCATTGAAGTTTTTCAGTCCCTCAGGGAATGGGAGGCTGAGGCAGGAGGATCAAAAATTCCAGGCTAGTCTCAGCAACTTAGCCAGGCCCTAAGCAACTTAATGAGACCCTGTCCCAAAATTAAAAAAAAAAAAAAAGAAAGAAAAGAAAAAAGGGCTAGGGATGTGGCTCAGTGGTTAAGCACCTCTGGGTTCAATCCTTGGTAATCAAAAAATAAAACAAAACAAAAAATCCAATTATTTACTTCCCATTCTTTAAAAAATCTTTCCATAACTTGTCTCTGGATCAGATCCAGCCAGACTACATCTCTTTTTTTTTTTTTTTTTTTTTTTTTTTTTTTTTAATTTTTTATTGTGGGTTGTTCAAAACATTACAAATTTCTTGACATATCATATTCCACACTTTGATTCTAGTGGGTTATGAACTCCCACCTTCACCCCATACACAGATTGCAGATTCACATCAGTTACACATCCATTGATTTACAAATTGCCATACTAGTGTCTGTTGTGCTCCGCTGCCTTTCCCATCATCCTTGTCTTGCATTTCATGCTTCTCTTCCTCTTTCAGAGGGCCACATTTTTTTTCTCCAAGAAGCCAAACTGACTTTCCACCCTCAACTGCTTCCAATTGTCCTCCACCCCTAACATCTGACCTCAGATGTCACATACTCAGTGTTCAACTAGAGAAACAGAACCAGCCAAAGACATATATCGAGAGGTTTATTGCAAAGGATTGGTTTATGTGATTGTGGGGCCCTGGCTGGACAAGTCCAGAATCTGTAGACCAAGCTGGAACTCTTATACAAAGGGTGTAACTGCTGTCCACAAGTGGAATTTCTTCTTCAGGGAAGCCTCAGTTTGTTCTTAAGGCCTTTCAACTGTTTGGATCAGGTGTTAGATCAGGACGCAAGAAAAGACCACTGACTCCAATTAAAATCAAATTAAAGCAAGCTTGTTATTTCGACTGGCCGGGCTGCTCTCCCACCCCAAACCGCAGGAACAAGACAGCACCGCAGCCTTCTTGCAGCCCAGCTTCATAGCCCAGAAAGTTACACAAAGCGGGGTTACAGATAACAAAACTTTGACGAGCATAATATTTTTGCTGGCTCTGGCATCAGAATTTATGAAGGTCATTAGAGCCTCAGAGAGGGTCATTATCTGGCCAGTTTCAGAGAGGGCTGCTATCTGGTCAGAGAGCCAGGCATAGGTGAGTTCAAGGCATGGGCAGGCATTCCAAGCAGGTTCAGAATTTGTAGTAATTTATAGTAAAGCCAAAATTAGCTTTTCATGGCTTTGTGGCGAGGTGGCTCCCAATTTTAAGAGAAAAATCAGGTTGGGTCTATCACAGGCCCACAAAGATTACCTAGAATAATCTAGGATAAACTCCCTTCCTTAAAATCAACTTGTTATGGATTTTAATCACATTCACAAAACACCTTCACATAGCACTTATATTAGTGTTTGATTGGAAGACTGAATATTGTAGCCTTGACAAATTGATGGAAAAAAAAGAATCATTATACTCAGGAAGACACTCCTTGGTCATCTGTCTCAGGCCATTTTAGCTGTTCTAACAAATTACTTTAAATGGGGTAATTTATAAAGAAAAGAAATTTATTGCCCACAGTTCTAGAGGCTAGGATATTGAAAAATCTAAGCACTGGAGATTGTATGTCTGGTAAGGGCCCAATCCTCATAGCTAATGCCTCTGCTGCATCCTCAGATGGTGGAAAGGGCAAACAGGTTCACTCAGGCCCTTTTTTGAAGATGCTAATCTCATTCATGAGGGCAGAGTCTTTGTGACATAACCACCTCTAGTTTTTCTTGCTTTCCATTGCTGTGACAAAATACCTGTTGTAGAAAATACCAATCCTGCCAAGGCTACTTGCTCTTTCATGTCTCTTTGTAGATGAAAAAACAGCTTGTTAGGGATAGCCCTATAATGCCCAGGGCTCAGCAGATGGATCTCCACTAGCTGAAAATTGTCCTCTCATTCTTCTTTTGGCTCTAGGAAGTCTTCTGTATTACTTGTTCATAGCCGAAAGAAAATATTATTTAAAAATATTTCTTCTCCACATTTTTGCTTCTGCAAAACCTTTTTTTAATTTTTTTATTTCTTACATACATGACAATAGTGGGATGCATTACAATCATAATTATCCATTCACAACACAATTTTTTGTAACTCTGTATATAAAGTATGTTCATGTCAAATTATGCCATTATACATGAGCTGTCATTATTATTACTATTATTATTATTATTTTGCATTACAATTCTTAATACACCTTTATACCACCAAAACCCTTTAAACTTTAACAAATATTTATGGAGTACAAAGTACATATGCAGCACTTCTCTGAGTGCTGGGAGTATAACACCAAATAAAACAAAGTCCTTCCCTTGTAGAGCTCACATTTTGCCTTTAAAGGGCAGGAAATAAACTAACCAAGAAATAGATACACAAGGGATGCTGATATGAAAAAAAAAGTAATGGAAGAGAGTGGTAGTTAGAAAGGGAAAATCTTGTTTTCTGCCTTTAGAACCTGCTTCCCTCTTCCTGCTCCTGTTCTTGTTCTTCTTCTCAGTCCAAGGAATTGTTTGAATACAACTGGAAAATGAGATTTTGTTTTCATTAACTTAGTGAAGAAAATATGACAGTATGATGACTGGAAAGGCAAATAATGTGCTATGTAATCTAAAAACCACAGCTTCTCAAAGCAGAGTAATAAGACCGAGATGTGTTTTGGTTTCCATGGAGCAGTTTCCTTTATCAGAAAGTCAATTTTTTGTTCTACTTATCGCCAGTGCTTTTGTTTTGATTTTGCTTAGCCAGATCTTCCTAAAACATATAAAAAGACCAGAGAGCCTGGCTGTGGTTTCTCTTGCAGGAAGGCACCAATTAAGGATTCTAGCAGGACAGTGTATGTTCCAGTTCAGAATGGATTGGCTTCAGCAATTCTTCCTCCATCCTGTGTCACTTTATCAAGGGGCTGCTTTTCCTTTTGCACTGCTGTTTAATTATCTCTGCATTATGGATTCATTTTCCACTCGGGCCAGGTAGGCTGGATGGCTAATTTTGCTCTTATGCCTGGGAATACTATAATAGAAAGCAAAGAGTGGACGGCATCTGTGAAGATTACGTACTAATTACACTTATTTTTTAGCTCACTATCCCTGCCACTGGTTGTTTGTTTCTTGACAATGAATATATATCATAGAGTAAAACTGACCTGGAAATTGATATCATATCTACATTGACTCAAAATTGGATAGGTTCACATTCAGTGGGAAATGGATGCAAAATAAACGGGGGTGGGGGGTGAGATGGATGTTAAGATGGAAGAGGAAGTCTCCAAATGTATCTCTCTGGGCCAACCATAAATCCCAGATATTCTTGAGCAGTCCTAACTTTATTTTCAATAAAATTAAATATCATATTAAGTAATACTAATGTTACATTTATAACAATGTAATTTAAAAATGTCTTTGATTTCTCAGAACAATGTCAAACAAATCTTAATAGATTAGTGTATCTCAATTTCAGGTTCAAAAATTGTCACTAGAGATTTGTTAAGTTGATTGCAATGATTTTTTTTATGTCCAATAACTTCAATACATTGGAGATAGTACCCATTTTTAAAAAATGTTCAGTGGAATATTCTTTTGAAAAGTGAAAATTCATTGCCCTAAGGCCACCTCCTAATTGTTCTCTAACTTTGGAAATAAGACTTTTTTATATATCAGGATTTCTTTTCTTTTTTTCCTTTTCTCCCTGCCCCCTACTCCCCCAGAGCTGGAGATACAATCTTAGGACTCCTGCGCTTGGTAAGCATTCTGTCATTTGCACTACATCTGGGCCCTAATGGTGTTTCTTAAATAAAATCTAGCTACATTTGATAATCACTTGGGGTTGTTGAGTTTCATTAAACTGAGTTTTCACTAAACTCCTTTCTTCACAGCTAGTTGATGATCCTTACTTTCATTTTTGAGATATGACAGTGGGGAAATATTTATCAAGAAGTTTCTATTGAGAATCACAAAATACTAAAGCAGAACTAGTAAAAAAAAAAAGAGTTAATTCCCAGGGAGTCACATTAAAGGTTTAACATTACTCAAGAGAGAGTCAGCCTACGGAATCCTCACTCCTTGACTACTGAGTGTCCTTGTATAGAAGAGTAAAAACTTTCTGAGGTGCCCTTTCCTTATCTGTAAAACAGAAATAATAATGCCTCTTTCAGGGCCTTATTTTAAGGATTAAATAATACTATCTTATAAAGGATTATTAACACAATACCTGGAATGGAATGAAATGGAAAGCACTCTATAAATTATATATTTTAATGTTTCTAAGTCCCTGAGGGCAGTTGCCTCTGGACAGGAGGCTTTTTTCAAGCTTCTCCTTCTATTGTGTTAGGAATCAGTGTCCTCCCATCCTGCCCTTATTTTCCCAAAGGAAGTGAGGGCTTAGGCCACAGTATGAACTGGGATATTGTGGGGATGAGTCACCCCAAATACAGGCTCAAAAGTCCAGGAATGGCCCAAGGTTTTTGTCACTTGCAAATGACAGAGCCTTTCACAATGAGGAATTTACCATGCTCTTTGGGGAAAGTAATTCCTGCCAACCTGTGCCTGGCACTGTGTCATAGAGTCGCTATATACATCTGTGACAGTGTTTCCTGCTTCTGAGGTGTTAGAGAAAATGTGGGCTTCTTTAACCCACCTTTCCTTTCCCTTATCAGTCCATGTTGCACACTGTTTCTGATCCCTTCATTCAGCTTTATTAATTCAGCACCAATTTAAGAAAAACCACATAATGCAGAAAGAACCTAGTCTGCATAACATGAACTCTCCCAGGCTTCTGCAGATCCTTATCTACTTGGCTTCTGAGGGAGGCATGGTCCACAAGCCATTTCTTTGATGTGGGTACTTTACAACCCTGGGGAAACAAAACAAAACAAAACAAAACAAAACAACAATTGTACTTTCCTCCCTGGCTGCCTGAGGATCCACCAGTATCATGGAGACAAAGAAACTGTCCAGACCAGGAAGTTCATGACCAACTGACTACTTCAGTGGAAATGAGTGGTCACTGATGTCCTGTACCCTAGGGAGGCAATAGTACCAAGAAAGAAATTTGGAAAAAACTAGCCCAAATGCACAAAAATCACACCTGATGTCATCTTTGTATTTGAGTTAGAACCCTGTTTTTGTAGTGACAATTGTTGTGTTGGAACATACAAAGAAAAATGAACCCAAACCCAGACTTGTAAGATATGGCTAGTAGGGGAAGAAAAAGACCTCAAGAAAATGGCCAAAGGAATGTGGGAACAGAATGAAAAAGTCAGGGGGACTAAGAAGACCAATGTTGGTACTAGGAAAAAGGAAGACAGATTCTGCAACAACTTGATCTCCACATTTTTCATAAGAGGATTGATAAACTTAAATAGATAGACTTAAAAACCAGAATCAAATCATGAATTCATAAGAGCTAAAGTTCAGCAAGGATGAAGGGGAGATTTAAAAGATTTCATCATTGAGTTTTCAAACATTTATCCAAAGGAAGTATTGAGTCTTTTATATATCCTGGGATCTCTAAAATGTTTTGGGGCAGTGCAAACCCTATGAGAAGGAAAGACACTTGGGGGCTGGAGTCCTGGCTCAGCAGTAGAGCGCTTGCCTGCTGTGGGCGGGGCCCTGGGTTCGATCCTCAGCACTACATAAAAATGAAGGTATTGTGTCCAACTACAACTAAATAAATAAAATATTAAAAAAAAGAAGAAAGACACTTCATGAGAGCAGGTCTAGAGAGATCTTCTGGATCCTCCACACTGGATTCACATCACTTCTCAGTCAGACAACGCACCAGTAGCTTTTAAAGATGCCTCTACCAGCAAGCCCTCCAGAATTTCTAGAGCCAGTAGTGGAATACTTTGGATGGGAAGCACTTGAATGGTGGGTACCCCCTTAAGAGAGGGGTTGCCAGAGTCACCTGGGCAGGAGTCAGGGTTTGTCTCCTGAGGTAGTCGTTTACAAGTTGGCCCTGGCTTTTTCTCCCATGTTTGTTTCCTTCAGAAGAATGAAAGGAAGGCTTTGGTGTGATAACATCATGCTTTTTTTTTAGATGTTATATTGGGGCCTACCTCAGTTGGCTTCCCTGGAATGACTTTTGATGTGATTCATTTGTCTGTCCTTTTTCTTTCAGGTACCTCTTTCTCCTGGCTGGAGGAGGTGCCCTGGCCTTGGCTGCCATGGGTTCATTTGCCCTGCTTGTTTTTATCCCTGCTTTCTGTACCGTGGTTTTGGTCTCTTCTCTTGGCCCACAGGAGGTCCACAGGCAAACTTTCTTCTTTCAGATGAGCTGGCAGACCTTGTGTCACCTGGGTCTGCACTACACCGAGTATTATCTGCAAGAGACTCCTTCCACAAGGTAAAGCACCCTGCTCATTTGGTTGTGCTTAGCTGACCTGGGGTTTGCTTGCACCATAGTTATGGAGAGAACATGAGTGCTGAATTTGAATCCTAATTTTTTCACATTTGAGGAGTGTGGTCTTGAACATGTTATTTAGCTTCTCTCAGACCCTGTCTCTTTTTCTAGAAAAAAAAATGTGGGGCTAGTAGTACCTATTCTGCAAGAGTGTTTTGAATGTTAGAAACAATGAGTGTAAGTATAATTGTTTGATGACACATAGCTAGTACTTGTTGTCTATGTAGCACAGTGTCTGGCACTTAGTTATAATTGTCATTGTAACAGAGAGGAAGGATGAAGCAGGAGTCCTAGAGGCTTATCTGGAAGTGACAGCACAGTTTGCTCATCTCTGTATGGTAGGTTTAAACACACAGCCAGAAAGTATAGATCCACTGTGAACCCTGGGTGCCTTCCCATGGCAGCTGCTGAGAAAGAGGCAGTTTACTGGGTAAGAATTTTATCTTCATACAGACTTCCAAGAAGAGTCTTCTCCCAAGAAGGGAGGTCATCCAATCTAGGAATAGACAAAAACAATAACCAAGAGCTAATTGCAATCTAGAGAAATGTTTTCATGAGTCAGTGAGATCACCAAGATTAGGGAAATGAGTATCTTTGTGCTTTTGAGGCCTAATGTTTCCGGTTTCCTCTACTTATTGGCTGGTGTGGTTCTCTGTGTCACTTAGAGAACAGAGGCTGTGGTTCTTCTATGATGATGATGTTGTTGTTGTTGATGATGATGATAATGATAGGAGGAAGAGGAGAAGGATGATATTCATGATGATGACAGTTTTCACCAAAGGCTTCAGGCTTGCTTCTCTGAGGATAAGACAAGATGGCAACTGGGCAGACATAGGAGGTACTGAATGGGCTGTGGTGAATCAGGATTTTAGTAGGAAGCCAGAACCTGATAGGGGCTGGAAGGGCGAGTTGAACAGGAACTGGCTGGATGAAAGGAAGGTTGAACCAGACCTGAAATGAGAATGTGTATTAGTCTGCTAGAGCTGCCATAAAAAAGCACCACAGAATGGGCAACTTACACAACAGAACTTTATTTCTTCACAATTCTGGAGGCTGGAAGTTCAAGGTAAATGTGTGGGCAGGATTGGTTGCTCCTGAGGCCTCCCTTCTTGACTTTCTTTTCTGTGTCTTTCCCCTGGTTTATGTCTGTATCCTAATCTCCTCTTCTTATGAGGCTTTAGTTCTGTTGGATTAGAACCCATCCAGGTGACCTCACTTTAATTACCTCTTTAAAGACCCTGTCTCAAATACAGTCATACTTGGAGCTACTAGGGGTTAGAACCTCAGTATATGAATTATTTTCTGGGGGGGTACATATTTGGCTCATAATAGAAGGTGAGTTAGCAGGCTGGAGGCATTTGGAGGCTGCATGACTGTCAGGACGAGGGGGTCAGATTTCCTTAAATCTTCAGATATACAGATGAGAACAGCTGTGTTTGGGCAGCAGTGCTGTTTTCTTGCCACAGGATGACTTTCCTGATTATAGAAGGTTCCACTGTAATTTTCACTAATTGTTCTCCTAAATAATCTTGTTAGCAAGCTCTTCCCCATGTTGAAGCAGTGAGAGTTCAGGTGGTTGGCGAGGAACCAAATTCCAATTGCTAATGATTCACCACATACCCTGAACCATTCCTCAGCATAAATCCCAGATCATGCAGAATCTTGCAGTCAGGGCCTGAGTAATTAAAAATCTGCAACTTCCTGTAATATTTTTACTACTAAGTGTTTGTTTGTTCTGTGGCAAATTTCTGATCTAAATTTTTTTTTGGGGGTACTGGAAATTGAACCCAGGGGCACTCAACCACTGAGCCACATCTCCAGCCCTATTTTGTATTTTATTTAGAGACAGGGTCTCACTGAGTTGCCTAGTGCCTCACTTTTTTGCTGAGGCTGGCTTTGAATTCGAGATCCTCCTTTCTCAGCCTCCCCAGCTGTGCCTGGCTCTGATCTAAATCTTTATAAGCCATTCTTAGAAATATTATAAATATTAATTTATATTTGTTTAAAATATTCTTCATTGTACTCTTATTTGTATCTCTAATGATTAATTTCCCCATTTTACCTTTTGATCCTGTCTGGAGTAGTGTGTATGGTTCTGAATTTATCAAAGGGTTTTTATGGGGCATGATTCTCTATGGGGGTCATGTGTGGCAGACTGGAATGGGAGAGAGAATAAATATGAGATGTTTCTACATTTAAAAAAATTCTCTTTCAGGTTCTACATCACTCTTTCTTCCCTCATGCTCTTGACCCAGAGGGTCACATCTCTCTCTCTGGACATTTGTGAGGGGAAAGTGGAGGCTGCAGTAGGAGGCATCCAGAGCAGGAGCTCTTTGTCTGAGCATCTATGTAAGGCTCTGCCCTATTTCAGCTACTTGCTCTTTTTCCCTGCTCTTCTGGGAGGCCCTTTGTGTTCCTTCCAGAGATTTCAGGCTCGTGTTCAAGGGCCCAGCTCTTTATGTTCCAGGATTTCTTTTTGGGCTCTGACTTGGAGGGGCCTGCAGATTCTTGGACTGGAGTGCCTAAAGGTGGCCCTGAGCCGGGTGGTGAGTGAAGGAGCAGGACTGACAGGTTGCCAGCAACTTGAGTGCATTTATGTCATGTGGTCCACAGCTGGTCTCTTCAAACTCACCTACTACTCTCACTGGATCCTGGATGACTCTCTCCTCCATGCAGCGGGCTTTGGGTCTGGGCTCAGTTCAAGCCCTGGTGAGGAGGGATATATCCCTGATGCAGACATTTGGACACTGGAAACAACCCATAGGATATCTCTGTTCACAAGAAAGTGGAACCAAAGCACAGCTCGGTGGCTCAGACGGCTCATATTCCAGCACAGCAGGGGCTGGCCATTGTTGCAGACCTTCGCATTCTCCGCCTGGTGGCATGGACTCCATCCAGGACAGGTACTTGGTTTTTTTTGCTGGGCCGTGATGGTAGAAGCTGACTACCTGATTCACACCTTTGCCAATTTATTTATCAGATCATGGCCTATGAGACTTCTCTATAGAGCCCTCACCTGGGTCCATACCCAGCTCATCATTGCCTACATAATGCTCGCAGTGGAAGTCAGGAGCCTCTCCTCTGTCTGGTTGCTGTGTAATTCTTACAACAGCTTCTTTCCAATGGTGTACTGTATTTTGCTCTTTCTATTACTGAAGACAAAACATAAATTTAACTGATATCTTTCTCTGCCTTTCATCCTACGCTCCCATGAAACAGAGTTTAGAAGTTGCTACATGATGCAATGATGATGTGTGTCTTTCAATTTTTCAATAATAAAAGTTTTAAGTATTAGATGGACATACCTTGTGATTTGCCATAAAAATTTGCGTGTTGGACTGGGAACGCATAGTTCAGTGATAGAGTGCTTGCCTGGTGTATTCAAGGCCCTGGGTTTGGTCACCAGCATTGCAGGAAAAAGAAAAAAAAAAGAATTGTGTGTCTACTTTAACAAGCTATTTTTTTACCACTGAGGATATAAAACAGAAATAAACATGGATTCATTCCTTAGAGTTTGCTTTCTAGGTATGGAAGCAAAATAATAAAAATACAAATTACATTGAACCACATGGAAAATGGTGTATACATGAACATCCAAAAATTGAGTTCATTTGGCCCACTTAATCCTGGAATGTGAACTTTGGCAATACTGTATTAGTTTGCTTTTCATAACCATGATGAAATATATGAGACACACTAACTTAGGAAGAAAAGGAGGCTTATTTAGCCCTTGGTTTTGGAGGTTCAAAGTCCAAGATTGAAAGGGCCTCACTGGTTTGGCCTCTGGTAAGTGCCTAATGATGGATGGTGTCACATCATGGCAGGTATGTGTATGGGGGCAAAGGATCACCTCTCCAACAGGAAGCCAGAGAGCTGGTTGGGGCCAGGATCAGGCTTTTATAACACCTCAGGAGAACTATTAAATGGTTTCATGAGAATTAGTTTGATCTCATTAGTGGGAATACTCTCAATTAACCTCCTAGTGGATTCTACCTCTTGAAAGTTCCACTGACTCCCAACATCACCATCCTGGGCACCAGGCCTCTTAAAGGATAACCACAACAACAAAAGCAAAACAAAATCTCCACTGTATTATCATTCATATATATAATAATATATATACATACACATAATATGAATTAGATACTCATCTGTTATGGTTCATATATGAGGTGTCCCCCAAAAGTACATGTGTGAGACAATGCAAGAAAGTTTAGAGGTGAAATGAATGATTGGGTTATAAGAACTTTAACCTAATCAGCGAATTAATCCCCTAATAGGAATTAGCTGGGTGGTAACTGCAGGTAGGTAAGGTGTGGCTGGAGAAGGTGGGTCCTTGGGACTTGCCTTTGAAGTCTATATTTTGTCTCTATTGAGCAGAGCAGTCTTTCTCTGTTTCCTGGTGCCAAGTCCTAAGCTACTTTCCTCCACCACACACCTCCATCATGATGTTTTGCCCCATGTCAGGCCCTGAGGAATGGATTTAGCCACCTATGAACTGAAACCCATGAAACCATAGGCCCCAAATAAAGTTATCCTCCTTTAAAATGTTCTTGTTAGGTCTTTTGATCACAACAATGAAGAAATTGACTAAAACACTCCTCCTTATTCATAAGTTTGAAACATTTGGTCTAAACTTGGAAATTTGAATGATTAGATCTGATAATGGAAAGACTGACATTATTCTCAGACAGAATAATAGGTGATATTCTACTTATGATTTGATAACTACTTATATAATTGTTAAATATAAAACTGACTCAAAATGGGAACACTCTAATAGCAGGAATAAATGCTATTTTAGTAGAATTTTGAAAGTGAGTCTTATTCTTTTTCCTTTATGTATCCTAAATAATTCCCTCTGTTTCTTCCTTTGATAGGATTTAAAATACACTAAGAACTTGAACTTGAACTTCCAAACTTTAAACTGATGCAATAAGATTTAACAAGCACTTTCACACTACTGCCACATCTGTGGGCACCTGAACTCAGTGGTAGAGAACATATTTAGCATGCACAAGGTCCTGGGTTCAATCTCTAGCACCAAACAAAACAAAACAAAACAAAACAAAAAAACAAAAATAAAACTCCAGGGAAATACTGGGGAGTGATACTGGGCAAATTATATTGTCATATTGTGTGCATGTACAAATATGTAGCAATAAATTCCACCATTTTGTACTACTATAATGCACCAATAAATGGCAAAAATAAAACCTACCCTCCTTCTAGGCAATGGCAATGAAGAAAACTGGGTTTGGTGTACTAATTACATTTTATTCTTTTAAAAAATATTTGTTTTTTAGTTGTAGTGGAAACAATACCTTTATTTTATTTATTTATATGTGTTGCTGAGGATTGAACCCAGGGCCTCACGAGTGCTAGGCGACTGCTCTACCACTGAGCCATAGCCCCAGCCCCCTACATTTTATTCTTATATTTACTAAACAAACATATTTGTTTAGAAAAAAGTATTTGTATACTACTTAAAACCATCTGCTTACCCAGGTGACATGTCACACCATAAAAAGCATCATATAGGGACTGAGGGTACAATTTAATCATAGAGCAAATGCTGAGCCCCAGTTGAGATCTATTCTACACCTGAATCTATAGATACTGAATTGATAGGGTAAGAAATCTATACAGCCCTCCCTCAGCCCATAAATGTCTCTGGAGAAAACAACCATTCAAACAGTACTCCATGAAATCTGAGCATTAGTTGAATTCTGGCACCTAAAATTTATATGTTACCAAGCAACTATTCTCAGTTCCGAGTATAGATTTGAGCTCACTGGAGGTTTTTATGCAAATATTTAATGTTTAGGTCATGTGATGTCCAATAAGTGGCATTGGCAGATACTGAGCACTTGACATGTGAGTAGGCCCTCATGTTGAAATGGCAATAATTTTGGATATACGGCATTAAAGGATATTAGTTAAAGTGCTTTGCATCTTTCTCATTGAAGTTTAGAAGTACATCTACAGGGATATTTAAGAACATATGCATGGTTCTCCTGGTTTCTTTGTGTAGCATTTGCTGAAAATATGGCTTCTCAAACTAGAATGTATATTAAATTCCATGGAAGTATCATTAAAATGCAATTCTAACTCTATAGGACTGGGCAGTCAATTGTAGGCTGGACCTGAGTAATTGCTAATTTACTTTTTTTATATTCTTTCCCAGAGATCAGGGCATTGAATATAGACATAGCCAACAATCAATACACCATTTCTGAGGAACTAAAGCATGTCCACCAGGATATTTCAAACATAAACACACAGCATGCTGAGAGACTCAAACATGTAATCTATGTCCAAAGCTTCATTTAATTCACCTCCAGTCATCCCTATTATTTGTGAACCTGGGTATAAGCAAACAATGGTTTGTGGGTGTTTGCAAAGACACTTTTAATCAACAAGTAGCATTCTACTAAATTTGTTTAGAATGTGGTTTCTGGTTTCAGAATTGAAGTGCTCCTATCAGCCAGCACTGTGCTATTAACTACTCTCTGGGTGACCCTGCTTATGCTACTTAGGGATACTTCTGATTATCATATTTTTGAATTATGTCCTTTTATGTCATTAGTGATGGATTCCATATCTTTTCACTCACTGAAGTTTTGAGGCTGAGTCACTGTGCTCAAATTTTGCTTCTACAAATCCAATGAAAATTATCATGGCTTCCTGAGTATCTGTCTTGTTATGAGTCTGGGAACTGTCATATTTCATTTACCCTGATTAAGGTAAATATGCTTCCCCTGCATTAACTAACTATTTTAATTATTGAAGTCTTTGCTTCAAGTGCCTCATTTAGTTTTTTTTTTTGCAAATACACTTTTATCCACAATAATATTTATAAACAAATCACTTTGTGCTCAAAGTTTAAAACTTTCCCACTTGGTACACATGTGAGACACAGCAGAAAAGTGTGGAATATTTCCTAAATCAAGTTTCACAAATCCAATCATCCTTTTTCTGTGGCAAACAGCATAGTACCCCTCACTGGATAGGTTTAAACTAAAAAAGGTTTATTTTTGCTCACAATTCTCATTCAAGGTTGAGAGGTCACACTCTGCCTCTGGCAGAGTCCTGAGGCAGTGCAGGGCAGCACATGCCTAGAAACCAGGAGCCACTAGTGACCCAACCTTCTGGCTTTTAGAGCAGATCTGCTTTTAAGATAAACCATTAACCAATGAATTAAGTGCATTTTTTTTTTTTTTTGATACTGGGCATGAAACTCAGAGCACTCAACCACTGAGCCACATCCCTAGCCCTATGTTTGTATTTTATTTAGAGACAAGGGGTCTCACTGAGTTGCTTAGCACCTCGCTTTTTGCTAAGGCTGGCTTTGAACTCACGATCCTCCTGTCTTAGCCTTCCAAGCTGCTGGGATCACAGGCTTGTGCCATTGCACCTGGCAAATGCATTTTTCACTTATGATTTTTTTTTAAACTTTTTGCATTTATCAGACATAGTCCCATCTTATGTCAAGGGAGTATGGGTGGTAAAAAATATATGGTGTATATGCATCCAGTTCAAACATGGACAAATCCCTGCGTAATATGAAGATAGAAGATGTATTTTCACCGTTTTTATTAGACCAGTGCTTTTTGGTGTTAGAAAACCTGAAATTTAATTTCCAGTTTAGGTTATGCCTCTGGTATCAGATGCTCTGTGGGGAGCCACACTGAATGACCACGCCTTCCAATCTTGATGCACCAGGCTCTGGCCAACCATGCATTCATTGTGGCTTGGGCAGTGACCTGCTTGGATAGCAAGGTCACTTCTTTGTGAGCATAACTTTAGGGTTGAGTTACACTCACCTGTTCTCTTGTAATCCTACCCCTTCTGCCCTATTATGGATAGAAGTTTCTAAGAACAGTGTCCCCCCCAATAAAAGCTGACTTCCAAGTGTACTCTCTCTCTTGTCAGCCTCTCGTGACTTTCTCTTGCTCTCCCTTTTGGGGATCCTGAGGCCAAGAGCCGAGGAAGCTGTCCTGAAGCTTGTATAAAGGTAAATTGTGTCTGTTTTATTTTGTATCCCTACAAATTCACATGAGCGACCTTTGTTCAGCTGCCTGCGCTGGTCAGGTGCGGCAATGCTCTGCTCACCCATTCTGCCCTTGGGTGCCATGGGCACCTATTACTCTTTCCGCCCCTTGCAAAAGATTTCTGCCTATAGTTACTACACAGTATGAAAATTATTAACCCATCAAATAGATTAATCCACTGAGGAAGTTATAGCTCTCATAATCTCAACATTTACCTCTGAGCATTGTTATATTG